AAACACATACAAAAATAGGATAAAACTAATACACACAAATATCATCTTATCAACATATACTCAGTCATAAATTTACTTAATTAACTCAATCGATCAAACTAAACACACATAACCACCGCCTTAACAACACATGTTCAATCATAAAATTATTCAATTAGCTTAATGTATAAATAATTTTATACTCTTATTTCTATATCTATAAGGTACCACATTTTTGAAGTGGTTTAAAAGTAGATGAACCAGATCCCAATGACTTTATTAATCTATTCTCAACTATAACGAGTCTAAAAGAAGTCAGTTGACATAGTAGAGTCAATCGTGATTGACCCTCATCTTACTCACATAAGAGGTCCCCTCCTCTAAAATTCACAAGGTCAAGGTAGAAAACATAAGGACACTCCTTCATAGATCACATTCACCCTTAAGAAAATATGAATGAATGAAATATATACACGTGAATGCATGACACACAAATACATAATTCATCTCAAATATCATAACTTGGATTTTCACACTACTAAGTCATTGTTTTGACTTTCTCAAATAATTAAACAAAACTTGAATTTTCGTATTATTAAGTTATTATTTAGACTTCTCAAAATATACAAGTTGCTCTCAAGCACATCCTAATACTTCAACTTATCATAACTAACAAATTCTTCAAAACAAAACACAAATATTCATAATATAACATCTCATTCTTATATATAACTCATCATCACATATTTCAATATATACCTTCATACATATATATATAAAAATAAAGTTTACCTATCGAAAGTCAATATTATATCCCTTAAGTTTTGGATAATATCTCACTTATTTTATATTTTACTTTTATGACATCAGTATAAAAATGATATTTATAGTTATATTAATAATATGGTATTGATTTTTATGTTATTTTAAAGTTAATAAAATTATCTATAACTTATATATGAACCTCAAAAATCTAGTTAATAGCTAAAATAAGAAAAGAAAAAAAAATCTATTCTAATTCTAATAACATGACCTTGCTTACTTTAAGAACCGCTCTCCAAATTCTTTATGTCCTGTCTTCCGCAAAATTTCTCCCAAGCAATAGAAACTAAATGGTATAGAATGAAAATGAAATGACCTAACACATATATACTAATAAGTGAAGTTGGCTTTTAAAAATAAAACCCAATTTACTTTTATGTTTTATCTTTTCAGTTTTATCATTACCATTTTCTTCCTATACCTCCATATCCCAAGTAAAATAATTAAAATACCCTTTTAATCATTTTTGTTTCACACCTTAACCCGTTTTTTTTTTATTTTCCTGCAAAAGTTCTGCGCCTCCATTGCTTATCTTCTACACCTTCAAAAATCCTCAGATTTGGTTTCTTTTGTTATCATTTTTATTCAAGATCATTTTCAACACTTAAAAGTGAGTAATCATTAATATAATGTATTTATTACATGTTCCTACACTAAAATTGCACATTGAGATTCAGATTGCTCGGTCTGGAGCAGTTTTGTGAAAATTAGATTGAGTTTCTGAACACCCAATCCAAAAATGCATTTTAAATTGGGTGTTTCATAATGCATTTTGAGAAAAGTCAGAAATGCATTCTCACAAAAAAATGCTGAAAACATGTACCAGAAAGTGGATTCTGAAATGTATTTCTGAAAATAAAATAAAAATGCTGGAAACATGTACTGGAAAGTGGATTCTAAAATACATTTTTGGACAAAAAAAATGCTAGAAACATGTACCAAATAATGGATTTTGAATTATATTTCTGGAAATGTATTCTATATTGGTGAGTTTAAAATATACTTCTAGAATATATTCCGGATCCACCAATTCAGAACGCATATTTTGGAAAATCAATTTTGAAATTGTACATCGAAACCCACTTTCTGAAACATGTTTTCAGACAAAAAAAATTGAAACTGTAATTCCAATCTCAGGAACTGTATTCCCAATCTCCATATGGTGTTTCCAACAAGAAATCTTGCTATGTGATACAAATTAAAAACAGTGAAAGATTCTTAACTGTTTCTTGTCATTCTTGGAATAATAGATAAGGAAGAATAAAAATGTTTTAGTAGAATTTAAAAGGCAGATATTTAAAGGTTTAAAAACAAAAAATAAGCACTTACAAAGGTGAAGACATATGTAAGGCTAAAATAAAGATTTAATTTAATTGTAGAGGTGTTGGAAGAAATTATGTCTTTTTAATTTTATCTTTCTAAGATTATCTTTTATCATCATTTTTCTATCTTTATTTTTGTCTAACAACTCAATTTTTTTATCTTTTATAAAAAAAACTTTAATTTTATTATTTAAGGCTAATTAGTAATTTAATTAAGTCAAATAAATAATTGCATCACATTTTTATTTTAAAAAAATGAATGTTACATTACATCAAGTATATTTTAACAATGTCCATGATGTTTCATATTATAAAAATATTCAATTATTTCATCCAATAAAATTTTATAACAATCTGTTTCTGTGGAATTTCGATCGATTTCGACTCTTAAGATATTTTGATCCTAATCAAAATTCTACCACGTAAGTTCTTTTTTACTTAGGCTAGCAAATTAATTTTCAATCGAGATGTATATGGGAATCGAATTTTGCCCAATTTCAAAGATACTATTTTTGGTATTTTATATTTAAAGTGCTCGAAATAAAGAAAGAAAATTAGTGGAATCGAAAAGCAGTGCTGAACATTAGATTGCAAAGAAACGTAACATGCGGAAATCTTAAATTTGTTTTAAACATAAACGGCAGGGAATCGAAACAGTGGAAATGTAAAATATAAATAACTGTAAAACAAATGTGCAGAAAATACGAATGACTTGGAAATCGAAAGCACATCAATGTTAAATGACAAGAAAACTTAAACGCAGAAACTTAACTTTCATTGAACCAAAATAACTAAAAATCGAAGGTACAGAAACATAAAATTGCGGAAGATAAATTGCATCAAAGTAAATTACCAAGGAAAATACATAAAACGGTAAAGGTACTCAATGAGCATGGAAATCCAGATTGCCAGAAGCTTCATGATGTTCGTCGTTTCTCCGGTAGACTTCTCACTAATAATTCTGTTCTCTGCCAATTTCTGCTCCCTATTCCTTCCTCCTTTGCTCTATTTATAGGGCATCATCCAAGTCTTCTAGGAGCAGTTAACAAGACTGCTACCACGTTCTACGTGCATGTTGCAGTTTGTCTTCTATGATTTCAATACTGTACCCACGTTCTCACGATCTTCGACTTCTACCATAGTATAGAAACTGCTTCCCATATGTGCACTTGATTGTTCTTCTTTTCACAATTTGGCCAGGGTTTCGATATCCACGTAGGTTGACCTTCCCCTCGATTTCAATTTTATCGAGAACTTCGAATTACTTTTGATTCCTTTTAACCTTAGCATCATATACTTCTATTTTCTTGGTTTGTTCCACAATAAACTTTTGACTATTGTTCCTTCGATTCCGACTCTAACTTTCGATTTTGTGTGTCACGCCCTTCTAATTGGACATCGAATGGTTTCTCATCCACCTCTCCGCTTTACCGATCAATCACATGTTTCTCGATTTGTCTTTCCTTCATTTTTCGATCGTTTTTCTCGATTTCCTACTAACACAATCTCATTTTTAACGTAGACAATCATGTATAATGTAGACAATCATGTAATAAGTAATAAAATGTTAGTCCATATTATTCCAAATACTTATTTTAGTAATCATGATGGTTAAAAATGCACGTCCAAACATTTTATTATTTTAGAGATATAGAAAGAGATAAATCAAATTAGTATAACAAATATATATATATATATATATATATATATATATATATATATATATATATATATATATTCTAGTTTTTATTAATTTATGACACAACTTTACCTAACCATTTATTTTCGATTTTCTCTTTTTTGAAAGAGTTTATAATAAAACATAAAATATTAAAACAACTAACTTTGTATTACACTATATGTTAAGTTGATATTATAATGACAAAAACACTAAAGAAAACAAATTTGCTTCATGAAAAATAGTCAGATATCTTATTTATTTTTTAACGTTATGTCTTTCTCGAACTTGAATAGAAGAGAAAAAAACTTATAAATTTTATATGATAAAGATGAAATTATATAAGAGAAAAAAATTAAAAAATTAAAGAAAAAAACTTATAATTTTTATGTTATATAGAAGAATATAAAAGTAAATCAATGGTAAAGAGAAATATATAAATATGAAAGAAAAAAATTAGTGTGATATAAAAAGTTGGACTAGAAAACTGAAAATATGAAAGATAAAAATATAAAAATTAAAAAATGCAGAGAAGAGAGTGAAAAAACTAAAGTGAAAAATTATGTTAAAAATAAAGATAATATTTATTATAAATAAAATGGAAAAAAAACTTAAAAAAATTATTAATATTTAAAAAATATTTTTTATTGAAAATTTTTATTTTGTTATGGTTATAAAAAAAACATCCATTCGTGTCCATGTATGTATGACCCCTTTTTTTATTTAATTTTATTTAATCATTTTAAAAAAATTAGGGGTGGGGCAGACCTCATCATTTCGTATGGGATATGAAAACTAAATAGAATAATGATATGTTGAAAATATTTTTTATATTATTATTTGTTTATTTATTTTATATTTTTTGTCAATAAAAAAATATTATTTTAAGATTGTATATTGAATTTTTGTAAATGGATGGTTGTAAAAAAAAAAATTTACGCACTGAAAATATTATATTAACAAGTGAATTTGAATATTGTTTTGTATGTGTTGTTCTGTCTTGATTAGGAGATGAGGTTAAAATGAAGAGCATGAGCAGGAAAATAATGAAGTGACAAACAACAACTAACACTGTAAAAGACATGACATTTATTATTTATTTCGGTGACAGATAAATTTATTGGTAAGAAAGAACAATCTCTACGATTGTGTTATTGCATGCAGAGTAGTGCTGTCACAGAGAAGCACGAGGTAGGAGTCTAGATGGCCTCATGGAGGACGTAGCTGGCAAGGTCGACAGCATCAGAGGAGGAGGAATCGGGAAACTTGGAAGCAAAAGACCAAGAGAGCACGTCGTGGGTTTCAACGAAGTCATTCGACAGCCCGGTGGTGGCAGAGAACCCAACGTTCACCCACTCGGGAAGCTCTTTAGTCACGTTCACTCTTTCGGATATGATGTAGCTCGTTCTGCTTGAAGGATGGACCAATGAAGCCACCAAAAGCCGGGTCGTGCCATCGTAGGTAATCAGAACCCTCGCGTTTTCCCCGTTGACCAGACCCCACGGCGCCGTTTTGATTGACCTGATGTTGTTCACGTCGATGCCAATGTGACGGTTTAGAGGGTCCCAGGTGTTGGAATAGGTGTCGAACTCCACAGCGAGAGTCTGGGCGGAGTTGTTGTAGTTAGCGCTTGTGAAAAGCCCTAGAAACCCACCCGCGGTTCTGGGCTTAGACCCGGGGGGAACCATAGCAAAGGCAAATCCATCGGCTGTTCTTGTCTTTACGGGAGCGCGAATGTTGAATGTGAAGGAGGTGGCCCAGCTGGCGATGGCGCCGGTGGTGCTGTCCCAGATTTGGACGGGGGTGGTGTGGAAGGCGCGTCCTAGAGAAAACGCCGTGGGAGCGCCGGCGGCATTAACGTTGGTGAGTCGTAAGGTGCCGGAGGAGATTCTGGCGTCACGTTGGAGGATGAGGTTTTGAGATTTGAAGTTTCTGATGGTGAAGGAGAAGGTGTTGGTTGCGTTTGCGTGGGTGAGGAGCAGCAGGAGGAGGGAGAGGACAACAGAGAAGTTGAAGGAAGCCATGGCTTTGATGTTTGGTTGAAGTGTGATCGATGGGTGATGCTAAGGAGGAACTTGCGTCGTGTATTTATAGTGCAAAAAACTGGACTTTGGAATACAACACATTGAAATTTGTAGGTTTTTTTTTTTTTTCTCATCTTGGGTAAAAAAATTTCGATTTTAAGAAAGGAGATCGAAAATTTAGAAATTTTTCAAATGGGGTGAGACGAATTTCAGAGTGACAAAACATGCCGATAAAAAATGACAAAAATATATTTGTATAAATTTAGCTCTTTTATATCAACTTTGTAATAACATAAAATATTATTAAATATTAAATTTAGGTATAAAAAGTTAAAATCATATTTAATTATTTTTATCAACTAAATGTTATATTAAATTTAGAAAAAAAATTATAAGGAGCTCTAACTAATTATTTTATAAATATAAAAATAAAAAATAAGTTTGGCAAACAAAAAAATGCTCAACTTAATTAAAAATGAGAGAATTTAGTGGGAAGTGAAAATTTATTGCATTTTAAACGTGTGGATTCATACTTTATTTATTTATTTAAATTTAATATTCTTTATTTTTTTATTGATTTCTTTTGTTTTCATTCATCCTGTTTTTCTCTTTTTCTTTTTCTATCATGGGATATATATGCAATAAATCCAGATGGCAGAAGAAGATATAACATGTTAATCATTATCAAATATTATTATTTTCATACTTTTTTTATTTTTTTTATATTTATTTATTATTTATTAATAATATATTATTTTACCAAACCAACATAATTGTAACTAATTTCATTAAGTTTATTCTTCTTTTTATTTTTGAATTTATAATCTATTATTTAAATTAGATTAAATAGTTTTTGCTTGTTTTGTTATGGGTCTGTCATTGTCCCAATTTATTGAATCAAAGATTAACCTTTCTTCCTATCTATGCAAACCGTAGGTATACGAAATTTATAGTAAATACGCATGCTCTTCAATCCACGTTTATAATAAATTACGCATGTTCTTCAATCAATTCAACACGTACATTATATAATTTATCATTATTTTATTCATTTATTATATTTCAAACGGAGAAGAAATCATTTATGCGAAAACTCATCGTACAAAATTTATTAAATATCCTTTAATTTAGAAAGAAAATATAGATTAAATTATAAATTGAAAATATTTATCTCTAAAACAATCTCTGTTATTAGTACAAACTCTAGAATTGTTTTCTAATAATTATAAAATTTATTTATTTAGAGATAGTTTTTTACTAAGATATAATCAACGTCTATTCTTTTAGTCACTCTTAACAAGTTTATTATTATTTTTTCATTAGAATTCTTGTTTAACAATGATATGAATGAAATATTTAATACGATATGATTAGATGTGTTCTCAAAATTAAAGATGTTGATGATGTGAAATATTTCTATGGTTTTAAAGGAAGTCCTTCATTTTCTTTATGACGCAGGTCTTTTAGTTTCTCACCGTTCTTCAAAGCATAATAGAGTTTTTCTCTGGCTAAGATTTCCAAATTCCTCTTTCGAGATTATGGATAGAAAGAACACGACACAGAAACCTAAATCACTCCTCTGGATAACAAATTTGGCGATCATTACTAACGAATCCATTTTTCATTAACAAACAAAACACATCAAAATTTATTGTGAAATAGTGAAGAGAGAAGTTAGGTTTCACCCTTGTTAGTTTTCAAGTTTTTCAACCAATTATAAGACATCTATACTAAGGATTTGCTTCCTAGTAATTTTTTTTTTTCGATTTTACATGTCAAGCTAGAGATGTCTAATATATATATATATTCATTAATCAGAGGAGGATCCTGACACATACATGCATAATCATCATTAGTTATATAATATTTATTAGTTTCCTGTATATAGGAAATATTTATTATGGTTGATTAAGTTTGTTAAGTGAAAAATGACAATCAAAGGATAAGACAGAAGAGTAATATATAATAGATAGATAGCTATCTCTTCCTACCTCCATCCACCAATCACTTTTATATTATTATATTATTATTCATCTTTATTTCATTCTTTTACCATCCATTCTTTTACTTGTATGACATTAGTATAAAAATTGATATTTATAGTTATATTAATCATATGGTATTGGCGTCCACAGTGGGGTAGGTAACAAATTTTTCCTACTCCACATACGAAATAGCAAAAAGACCATGTGACTCGTCCTAGTAATCGCAACAATCAAGACCCTAACGGAGTTGACTCAAACAACTCCGCAATGCAACTAATTCTGGAACAAATGGAGGAATTGCGGCGATAGACTGAGGAGGCCCAGCGTATGGCAACAGAGGCATCTCGGGTGCAGGATGAATTGCGACGACAGAATGAGAAGTTGCAAGCAGCTATCAAACAACAGATCTGATCCAGCTCAAGTGACGATGAGGAAGAGATAGTGTAGAAGGATTTTCAGCCTTTTGTAGAGGTCATCATGGAGGAGTCTCTGCCCCTACATTACATTACTCCTAAAATCGATTGATTCACTAGAACTCAAGATCCATTGACACATATGAAGGCTTTTAGGGCACAAATGATTATCAGCGGTGGGTCTGATATTGTGCGCTGTAAAGTTTTTGTAGGTACCTTATGGGGAACTGCATTGGATTGATTTAGTGGTCTCCCCGAACAGTCAATATCTAGCTTCAATGACTTGGCTAATGTTTTTGTTGCCCATTTTGCTGCTAATAAACAAAGGGCACCCAAGACGATTGATTTGTTTGACATGCGGCAAGGACGAACCGAATCCATAAGGACGTTCTTGCACCGATTTGGTAGCATGACCGTTAGGATCCTACCTCCCAATGAAACCATGTTTGTGGATTCTTTTATGAAAGGGTTGAGGGCAGACCCTTTCATGGAGTCTTTATACAGGCATCCATGCAAAACAATGAAACAAGTTCGGGCCCGAGCCACATCCCATATTGAGGTCGACCAAACAGTTTGTCAACACCAGGCTGCCAAACAATTGGAATTGCAACAAGACAATTCAGTAAAACCCTTTCGGGCCCGAAATGTACAAGGGTCACACAACCAAAGGAGTTATCATCCTTATGACAAACGCAGAAATCCTAATCGACAGATCACGGAGCCTAATACTAGGCAATATCAGTAACAACCTATTCCGCTTAACGTGTCAAAGAAAGAATTGCTGCAAGAAGTAAGAGCAACTAAACTCCTTCATTTCCCTCGTGTCACCCATAAGCAGCTCGGTCCCAAACAACAGGCGTGGTGTGAATTTCATAGAGCTCGAGGACATGACACTGAAGAATGCCAAACGCTAATACACCAGATGGATCTTTTAATTAGAGAAGGTAGGTTATCGATGTTCAGGCTAAATCAACTACCCAATCCATCTCACCCATTCCAGTCAGGGACATCCTTTGATAAAAGGGAAAAAGAATCATCATGTCAAGAGGGTTGCAGGTGGAGGACCCACCTCTTCCTCCAGAAAGAGATATGCTCAACAATTTCTTATAGCGACAACAGTAGCTCGATCCCCACCTACTCCAGCTATTACTTTCACTGATGAAGATCTATTAGACGTCATTCCTCACGAAGATGACCCTATCGTCATCTCCATAATTATGAGAGGACGAAATGTTCACAGAGTTTTGGTGGATCAAGGTAGTTCAGCGGATGTTTTATATTGGGACGCTTTTGTAGGACTTCAAATCTCTACAGACCTCCTACAACTATTTTCAGGAGTCCTGGTGGGATTCACGGGAGAACAAGTTGAAGTTCGGGGATATGTAGAGTTACGTGTTACATTTGGCGAAGAGGTATATTAAAAAACGATTATGATAAAATTCCTAGTTGTTAATGCAATATCATCTTACAACATGTTGTTAGGGAGACCTTCTTTGAAGAAGTTGGGAGTCGTCGTATCAACTAAACACATGAAACTTAAATACCCCAATAATAATGAAAAGGTAGGAACTGTAAGGGTTAATAAGAAGACTGCGCGAAAATGTTATGAAGGAAGTCTTCGCCAAAGGAGGGTGTTATCATCGGGTCTGAATAGCTCAGAAGTTCACATGCTGGATTTGGACCCACGTGTCTTCGAGGATCGTCGACCTCAACCAGTGGAAGATTTGAAAAAGGTCTTAATTGACGATAACAAGTTTATCCAGATCGGTACCAACATGGGTGAAGAGGTGGAAGCAGCAGTGGTAAGAGTTCTGAGAAAAAACAAGACAACATTTGCATGGTCTATGTCTAATATGCCTAGAATCGACCCATATTTCCTATGTCATCGTCTAGCGTTCACTACAAGAAAAAACACATTTAGCCACCGAAATTAGCGACCGAATTTTTTCAGTCGCAATTAGCGACCGATTTAGCGACCGATTTAATTTTAGTCGCAATTAGCGACCGATTTAATTCGGTCGCAATTAGAAACCAATTTAGCGACCACTTTAATTCAGTCGCAATTAGCAACCGATTTAGCGACCGAGTTAATTCAGTCGCAATTTAGCGACCGATTTAGCCACCAAAATATGATTTGGTTTCACTTTTTTATTTAGCGACCGAAATAGCGACCAATATTTTGCATCGCAAAATTTCGGTTGCTAAATCGGTGGCTATTCCATACTAAAATAAAAAAATCATTTAGCGACTGATTTAGCGACCAAATTACAAATTGAAATAGTGACCAAATTAAAATCGGTCGCTAATGAGAAAATAATGTCCGAATTGAAATCGATCGCTAATGAATATTATTTTTTTATTATATTTAAATTCATTTTTTTATAAATATACTTTAATTGTTTTAGTATATTTTTTACAAATTATTTTTTAAAAGTAATTTATTTTTTAAAAATAATATAATTTTTAAAATATACTTTAAAAATAAACTTTGGTCTCAATATTAAAAAAATGAAGATTAACTTTAATTTTAAATTAATAAAATAAAAATATTATTAAAAATAAATCAAATTTATTAAAAATTTAAATTATAATAAATTAAGAC